ATTACATTACATTACATTACATTTTAAATTACATTTTAAATTAAATTAAATTAACACATTTATTTTTTATTAAATAAAATAGAAAATGTAATTTAATTTAATTTAAGGTTCCAAAAGTTGATCTCTATTTCAGATATCCTACAAAAATTCTCTCACATTAACCAACAGACAATAATTTCGACTCATTATGTTGTTGTCTGTTTTTTCACTCAAGAATAAAACTTCCTCGTGAGGATAGACCATAAAATTTTGTAACCAGCAAAACATAGCCCTGTAAACACTCATTTCTGTGGCTGTTTGTCACAGAGGCCTGGTATTTTAAGTCCATGATCGGATCAGTTGAACTGTGTTCTTGCGCTGCTCTCAATCAGGTCCTAATGAAAAGCATGCAGCGTGCAGAGGGGGGCGGAATAAAGTTGTACACCAGCTGCTCTCTCTGAAGTGTGTGTGTGTTTTGTCGTAAAGGCTTTGCGGTAATGAACTGCAGTGCGATGTTATAAAACACTCTAACGTTCTGAACGTGCCCGCACCAAAAAAACGAAAAACCTTTGAACACTTACTGCTGTTTCAAACAGCCGAAGAATACAATCGTGTTCCACGTCTCGGAAAATTCATCTGCGTGTTACTTTCCCGACATGTCTCTCCGCCTCGTTTTTTTTGCGTCGCTGTCTCGCTCTCTTTTTTATGAAGTTCTACTTCTTTATGACTTTGGCATCGGTTACCTCAAAGGTCAGAACGTGGAGCCTGTGCTTACTCATGACCAACAGGTGTTTATGCATTTATCAAGTTAAAGGTGAAGCTTATAATGACGTAAAGCTTTGTACTGTGCCTATTGATCTTCCATTAGATGTTGCTCCTGTAGTGCCAGAGTCATTTTGATACTTGTCATGTCAAAACGATGGTAAAAGGATGGCGAGATGTTAATAGAAGCCAATTTTTTTTAATGTATGGTTCCTCAGGTAATATGGAGCTAATAAACAGACTGCTGTTGGACGCTGGCATCACCGCTGAACTGGCCAAACACTGGAACAAACAGGGGCAGTGAGTTGCACTGAATTATAAATACAAAATACACTAGGCCAAGTGAATTTAACTTCAACTTTACTCTCCTCATGTTGATTCAAACCTGTCTGAACATCTTTCTTTGGTGGAACACAAAAGGAGATGTTTTGAACTGTTCATGCTACTTTTTTTCAAACAATGAAAGCATATGCTGTCAAATTCCAAAAAGAGCCTCATAAAAATAGTCTTTTATGGTGCTATATTGTCCTTTTAGGAGTTTGGCCACTGTATGCGTTTGTTGTATGGAAAAGAGCAGCATGAACATTCTGCTAAGCATCTCCTTTTGTGTTCCACAGAAAAAGAAAATCACATAAGCAGCATAAAAGAAAAAGTATGATAGAATTTCTTCTATCTATTTTATACAGCACTTTTTTCAGTCTAGTTTGTGGTTTTCAGGAATGAGAGAATCAGGGCTAAGTTTGTGGTGACAGACGGCGGAGTCACTAGAGTCTATCCTGCGAGGTACTATTATATTTTAAAGCTTATTTTAAAGAGAGGGAATACCAGGCAGGCCTATGGGATTTAGACTAAAATTATCGCTCTGTGTGTGTTCTGCAGTGCTGGTTCAGAATGGACTGAACAGGCAGAAACATACAAATCTAGTTTCTACAAGAGAAGTCTGGACAACAACATTTTTGTATTTACATCATCGCCATATGCATTCAATGGTAAGTTTGTGTTGGTGAATATTAAAAGCAGCAAAATCCCATTTTTCCTTTTGGATTAATGGATATTTTCTGTCCCCTTTTTTATCAGAAACTCAAGATTCTATTTTAGTGAGCAGAGCGATGGACCTGAGAGTTGATGAATTCATGCTGAAGCCAGCAGGTAAGAGTCGGACGTTATGGTTTTGATATGGGAATATACCGTAGATAGAAAGATGTGGCGATAAACCAATATAAAAGCTTGGTCAAGTAATCAAACAATATTTTCAAATTATTGACACTTACCAGAAGTGGCCAGTTCAGAAAGCTACCAATAGTGTAATTAAAGTAGATTTTTTGTTTTGCCAGTGAATCTTTGTTTGATTGTGTGATTGTGAACTGATGGAAAACTTAAAACTAAACTCATTTTGATTTCAGTGGTTGGTGTTAAACTGGATAAACAGACTTGGATGGAAAGCTTCATCAACGCTACGATTACGCCCAAAGTGAGTGCAAGAAATTAACTACCTGTATTCATTTGAACTGTAATGCAGGTTAGAAGGATGCTTGAGAATGTTGTCAATTTGATCCATCTTAATAATGTCAGTTTGTATTTGTATGAATTAGGTATGCAGTGATGAAAGTTATGGTTAAATGGTCAATATTCAAATTCCAAAAAGTTAATTTGAAATCTAAATACTACAGGTGAACTTTGTAATCACAACAATATAATACACAGTTTTTAAAAACAAACAAACAAACTGATATTTGTTTTGAGATTTGCATTTACATTTAATAGTGTTATTATTGTTGATGTTTTTTGAAAGATTAATTTCAAGTGAGCATTAGATGTTGTCAAAGATGATCTAAATGTAAAAAACGAGCATTCACAATTACATATCCGATATGAGTTAGTATGTCCAATGTCCACTGATACCAATAAATTAAAAAAATCTTTAATATTGCCTGATAATACAGTTTTGATATTTTTGTGAAACTCTAATATGAATCCGTCTATATTTTTACTCTTCCTGCACAGTGTGTTGGGGAAATCTGTGGGTGCAGGAGGGACGATAGCGTAAGATCATATTTATGCGACTACTTGTGTTAGATCTAAAGAGATGTTATTATCTATATTATATAAACTACTGTTTAAAAGTTTGGAGTCAGTAAGATTTTTTTATAAGTCTCTTATGCCCATCAAGGAGCAAAAAGACAGTAAAAACAGTAATATTGTGAAAAATACCATTCAAAATAACGGTTTTCTATTTTAGTATGTTTTCTCAAGAAACATTTCTTATTATTTTCACCTTTAAAAATGGTTTCTCTGCTTTTTATTTTTGTGGAAACCATGAAATCTTTTTCAGGATTCTTTGATGAATGGAAAGCAGCATTTATTTAAAAATAGAAATCCTTTGTAACAATATAAATGTCTTTACTGTCACTTTCGACCAATTTAATGCGTCCCTGTTGAATAAAAGTATTAATTTCTTTAAAAAAAAAAAAAAACTTACTGAGCACAAGCTTACTTTAAATTACACTAAGACTGTATTTATCTTTTTCTCTCAAAGAATCTGGACTGCTTTCTTCTGGATGATGGAGGCTTTCTTGTCATGACCAATAAGGACCTGTATATCAATAAGGTGTGCCTCTCTTCATACCCAATCACCATTTTGCTTCCATTCCACATTCCCCTTCTTTGACCCCCAGAGAGCGCCCACCCAACCCCACCTGTACCCCGCCGGCAACAGCAGTAGAGTAAATGTTTAAAGTTAGGCTCAGCGAGGGAAACCAATCAGAGCGGAGTGTGTGCAGGATAAATCACGGCCGGAGTGTTTGGCAGCAGGACTGAAGCCGAGGAGACCGACTGTGCCCTAAATCCCATCTCCTCCCCTCTGTGTGGGCAGACTCTCCAGGGGTCGGCTAGGACCGTCAGGCAGACTTCACATTCATTACGGCTGTTATTGCACAGGGAGCGGCGGCCGTTCTGTACGCTCTAGGATTTATATCGCCTTTGGACTGACTTATAGTCTCGGATGCACACACTTTTACATTCTTACGTGCAATACAAAGCTGGAAGTTAAGCTGTGTGTGTTCGTAACAGTATCCAGAACAGGGGTGGTTTTTTAAAATTTCACACACACTCGCGGTCGGTATCACACCTCTAAGATTTTCTGGGCTCACAGACAGCTCTTTCTTTGGTTTAAATTATGATAATGCAGTATGCCATCCTAATAAGATTAGAACAGATCCTATTGGCTCCCCTGAGCACGGTGGGCTCCACACTCTTTAAACACACAGCATGAACTTATTCTACAGATTAGTACGGACAGACATCCTCATACCCTGAGTGACACATGCCTGCTATGTAACTCAGCCAATGTTGTGAAATTTTGAATAAGAATAGCCACAGGAATCTGACAGAATTCAGCAGAAAGCTGTGCATAATTATTCACTATTTAATTCTGCACATTTCTGTTTTAACACATGTAAGCATTTTTGGTAACACTTTAGTATAGGGACCAATTCTTACTATTAACTAGTGGCATGACTATTATTAAGATATTGGCTGTTTATTAGTACTTATAAAGCACATATTGTGCAAGACCATATTCTACATCCCTAATCCTACCCAATACCTAAATTTAACAACTACCTTACTAACAATTAATAAGCAGCAACTTAGGAGTTTATTGAGGGGAAAGTAGAGGTTAATGGTTTGTTAATAGCGAGAGTTGGACCTTAAAATAAAGTGTGATTGCATTTTTTACGATTCCACAGAATTATGCACATTTTCCCCAAGAATCAGTGTGGCAAATATGAACAATTTATTTTTATTTTATTTTACCTTTGCTTAACCAAAAAAGAAGCCACACTTTGTCTTCCTGCAAACTGTTAATAGTGGACGACTCATTCGTCAGGAGCAGATGTGTGTATTCAGAGCGTGATTCTTTATACTGTTTGTAGCTCATCTCAAGACATCTGCAGACCAAATGGTGAATAAACAAACATTTCATTGCGGGTTTAAATGATGTTAATTGAAAACAAAAATAGCTTTTGTATACTTTATTTTTCAATGGTGAATCTTTACAGTCTGTGCCTGTTGCTTTTTAAAATGCAGGTTCATGAAGGATATTCTTTTGGGGCATTAAATTATCCCCAGAAGTAAGCAAAAATTTATCAAATCCTTTGGAGATGCCAGCAAAGTTTTGTGGGTGAAATCCAGTCATTTCAGTAGGAAACAAAATTTTACATAATGGGAAAAAAAATTTGTCAACAGGATTTAACAAGTTCGTCATACTGACCGATAGAAGGCTGCTTGATTTGAAAGTAGCTGTTTGAGCTGTGCGACGCTGCACTATTGACAATTATAGACAACAGACCTTTTTTGTCTGAAAAATTTTGCTGAAATTTTGTGAATGTGATTTTTTTTTTAGTCTGTAGTAATTATAATTATCCCTATATAATAACAACAGAAGCCTATGATGCCCCCGTCTCTAAGTAATTGTGTGTGTTTGTGAATGTCTGTGTTTTCAGATCGGACAGTTTTTTGGGATGATTGACCCCAGCCTAATGAGGAATCTGATAAACGAATCCCTGTTCTCCATCAACATAACCTATGACTACCAGGCCCTCTGTGAACCCACCAAAGAAACTAAAGCCGCCGCTGGTCTCAGATCAGTCTATGTGGTGAGTTTCATTTTTTTTAAATTAATTTCAGTTTCTTAAGACAAAAAAAGTTCATTCACAATAAAATCGTATCCAGTAGTGGTTTGCGTGTTATCTGAAAAGTGTTTTGGCACCTGCAAATAAAGATTTGCTTGCATAGCACATTTTCCCCGGACTATAAAGCTTAGTCATGCAATTAGTGAACTTCATATTATTGTTCCATATCACACTGATAAGTTAGCCTCATGATACTCTCTCTGATCTGTGACTCGAATGATTTCGGCCTTGTCTTACATGCTGACTATACCTCACAACACACAGAGTCAACCGTGAATCATCACAAAGTTGTGAATCAACTTCCTCTCTCTCATGCTAATCAGAGCAGCGTGTGCTGCAGCTAATGGTCCCCTGAGCTCATTCGTTTAGCCTTGTTTGTGGATTTATGCTTGCATCTGCTGAGCTTTCGTCTAATATCTCCCGTATTGTTTGGCACCGGGTCCCTTCTGTCTGGCAGGGTCATAATAGGGCCCCCTGCCAATAAAAATCAGGATGTTTTGGTGCTTCTCAGCTCCGGATATGCAACTTGCAAAGTTAGAGAAGAATGTCTGAGAGAATACGAGTTTAAGATGCCGACATCTTTGAGTTTATGCTGATTTTAATGGGGATGATGCATCACAAGGACCTTTTAGATGCCCTTAGTGCTCACAGAAATGTTGTGTAGATTTAAAACATGTTGTTTGTCCTTTTTAGCCCACCATAGCTGACATCCTGAACATTGGTTGGTGGGCTTCTGCAGCAGCCTGGTGAGCGATTTAACTTTCTCAGTTCACACAAAAAATGAAAATCCATTGATTATTAACTAACCCTCATGTTCCAAACCTTTCTTCTGTGGAAAAAGGGCCTCTTTGTATATTTTACAAGAAAACAGGAGTCCAATGTTGTTTTGGAACCCAATGACTTTCATTACAGCATATGGACAAAAACATTGTTCTCAGCTCAATCAGTATTTATTTTTATTTCTCCAGGTCAATATTGCAGCAGTTGTTTGTCAGCATCACATTTCCTAACTTCCTTGAGGCAGGTAAGATCTAGACATTAGTAATTCCTTGCTATGAAAGAATGATTAAGCTACTGCAATTTGGCAGACGCCTGTTTTTCTTGTCGTCTGGTGCACTGCCAAAACTACAGTGCTAATGACTGCTAATCTTGAATTCCTGTACGTACAGAGTGTGACCATGTATTCTATTCAGAATGTCAAAGACAATTAATGTGATGGGGGTGTGGTGTAAATTTTGACTGTATTCTGTGAAATTTAATTTTCATTTTTTTGTAATTGACTCAATTGACAGTTCAGTGGGTGTTATTTAAGCACTAAATCAACAGTAATTCATATAATCATTTCAAGTATTGTAGCTCACGGCAACTGAATATCAATTGTGTTTTGTTCACAGCGGACCTAGACGATGACCTGTCTGAAATGCCATCTAAAGAGAGTTGCATTAAAGAGCAGAAACAGTATTTCTTTGAGAATGATGAGACAACTTTTAAGGGGACTATTGATTGTCAGAACTGCTCCAGGTGAGACTTTTATGGAACTTAATCGTGGAGTCAAAATGATTTTTATTTTTTTTTGTTGGTTGTCAATTTAATGTGATAACATTTTTGTGATTAATTGTTTAAATATTTACGCAGCAAAAAACATATTCATTGCTCCTGAGCTTTACATACATTTTCCAGTTATCTTTATTTGGGAAAAAATAACTAATATTGATTATTATAATTGAATAGTTATACAGTCCTATTTATTTATTTACTTATTTAAATGGCATATATCATAATAAATAAATATTAAATGAAAACAAATCTAAATTAAACATGCAATTATACAATTCTGTAAATTATGTTTTCTTTTTATTTAGTCTGCATATCATGTAACAATAAGTAAATTAAATGTAACATTTTATGTCATTATATAGACTTTTAATAAGTTGTCACCCAGTTCTTAATGATCAAGGCCACCTTTGTCAGAGATGAATTGTGCCCATTAGTTTGTGCATATTTTTGTGTTTTTGTTTTCAGGCAGTTCATAGCTGAAAAGCTTCCGAAGACAAATCTGGTGCTTATTGTTGCCGACACAAAAGAACCGTGTTGCCAGGCTGATGAAAGATTTTTCTCCCAGGAAGAAAAGCCTTGTATCCTTCATTCATGTACAAACAAACCTGCTGTTTTGTATTGAGACACACAATGATGATTACTCGTCAGGTCAGTGTCAGCTTTGGGAAGGAAATTCAGAAATAACTAGAAGTAGCTTTTCCAGTAAATGCATCGCTGTCATTTTAGTTCATTTTAGTCAGTTCATTCAACCAGCTGTCAGTAAAGTGGAAAAATTATTGACCAGTTCTCAAGTCATTACCCAACATGTTTATCCAATGTCCCATTTTCCTTGTAAAGTGACGTGACATGTGGCCAAGTATGGTGACCCATACTCGGAATTAGTGCTCTGCATTTATCCCATCCAAAGTGCACACACACAGCAGTGAACACACACACACCGTGAACACACACCTGGAGCAGTGGGCAGCCATTTTTTGCTGTGGCGCCCGGGGAGCAGTTGGGGGTTGGGGGTACCTTTGGGTTACGAGTCCGACTCTCTAACCATTAGGCCACGACTTCCCCAAATACGTGACTTGTAGAGGTTAAACAGGTTGCAAAGTTTTATAAAATTGTGCAGTGCTGGTATTGTTGGTACTTTACTAAATAAACCAGCAAAACTTCCTTGGAGCTCCAGAAAAAACAGGTTTTGCTGCTGAACAGCTAGACCACCAGCACTAGACCTGCATAAACCAGGATGGACTAGCAGTTTTTTTCAGCAGGAGTGTATTAAGTCCAACACACTCTAATGTCAATTATAATTGTATCTAAGTTTTAGTGAATTGGTGGCTTATTAATTCATACAAATTATTTAGTACAATCGCATTCGTGAATTTTTGTACGATCTGCGTACAGCCCACTGACTGTTGGGTTTTCTTCTAAAAATCATATGTTTCTATACAAATCACATTCACAATTTTATACCTCGGAAAATCCTTACTTTTTCGCATAATATCAGATTGTGCTGATTTGAATCCTGAACTTGGTCTCACAGCTCCAGGTCCAGATCCCTGTGAGATAGCCCAGAACCCACGCTATCGGAAAGGTCCGACACAGTGCTTTGAAAACAACGCAAGTGTAAGTCACTTAAACACCTCCCTACTGCAAAAGCCTACGACAGATTGAGACCAAACTAGCAATCAGCATGACTTGATGTGCATCATGTCCTATTCTTCAAAAACGGCTGGTCTTTGCTGCTCTCATTTCAGTCATCTACCACACTGAGACTCTGGATGAGAATCTTTGAGTCATGACCGATGTAAAAAAAACGCTATTTGGCTCTGTGTGATAGATCTTGGTTTCGGAGAGCTTGACTTTGTTTGACATGTTCTAATCTCACACAAGCATACATTTCATGGCCTAAAGAATGTGGACACCTTTTTTAAATTAACTGGGTTGGGTGTTTCGGATAGAACAGGTGCATAATATCAAGCATATAGTCATGCAATCCCATTTTTGAAGACATGAAGAGTCTAGTGTGAAAGAATTTGACTGGCCTGCACAAAACCAAGACATGAGCCCCATTGAACAAGCTTCCTATTCATGATTTTGAATTGAAATGTTCACCGACTGAGTGGGGTGAGTGGGGTGTCCACATACTTTTGACCAAGTAGTGTATCTTTATCTAAACATACCTACTTCCTGCTCTGGATTCTCTCTTTTTACTTACAGTATTAACGCTTTTTGGCTCGTGCACTTGTTCGCGTGTTGCTTAAACTTCTGACTGTCAAACATTTTTCTGCATGACTCTTCCTCTCTCTTTCTCTCTTTCTCTGGTGCTGTGTATTTGGCTGTATAATGTATGTTAGGATGAGGCCATGTGTAGGAGAAATGCAGGCTCTCCACTGCTTTCCTCTCTGCTCATGTTACTGCTGCCAGTGTTCATGTGCTGTCTCGGGTCAGTCCATCTCTCTATCTCCCTCTAGCTCTCTATCTTTTTATTTATTTATTCATTCATTTACTTATTTATTTTGATCTATCTTGTCTGCCAAATAAGTAGTAAATTCACTAAACACCTGTGTCACTTTCGTTTTTTGTATGTCTTCTTATTCGAGTTTGCTTAACCAGCTTTCTATGGAAATTTCTTTCATTACCTGAATTCCTTTAGTGAATTAGCTGCTAAAACAGCACTGGCAGTTTGTGCAAAAGGCTATCAGCGGGCACACTTCTGTTCTTTTTATCTACATTTTTTCTGTCTAATTCAAATTAATATCTCTTTCTCTCGTGCATTTAATTTTGCAACTAATTAACTTAGCTGTTGCTTCTTACAACTTGTTAAACTGCTGATGTAACTCTCACGCTTGACTAATTCACCAGCTGATTCAATTAAAATAGAATAGAAAGTGTTAGAGTTAGAGGGTCAAATAAAGGTGGAACAGATGTGTTTTTAGTCGTTTCTTGAAGATGGCTAAGGACTCAGCTGCTCGGATTGATTTGGGCAGGCCATTCCACCAGGAGGGAACAGTTAATGAAAAAGTCAGTGAAAGTGATTTTGTGCCTCTTTGAGATGGCACAATAATACGCCGTTCACTTCAGAAAGCAAGCTTCTAGAGGGCACATAACTCTGAAGTAATGAATTTAGGTAAATGGGTGCAGAGCCAGTGGTGGTTTTGTAGGCAAACATTAATGCCTTGAATTTAATGCGAGCAGCTACTGGTAGCCAGTGCAAATTGATGAACAGAGGTGTGACATGTGTTCTTTTCGGCTCATTAAATATTAATCTTGTAGCTGCATTTTGGATTAATTGTAGAGGTTTGATCGATTCACCAATGAATAAATTATTAACAGCATAAGCATATTTATTCATATTATAAAAAATAAAAAAAAAGAAGCTTTTAGACTGATTGTAGTAGGATATTGTAGTTTTATGGTGCATTCACCTAATGTCACAATTACTGTAATTAATCATGTATAATATGCTAAATATATATATATACTGCAATTCAAAAGTTTGGGATCAGTATTATTTTTTAAAGTTTTTGAAGGACTTTCTTTTGCTCATCAAGGCTGCATTTATTTGATCAAAAATACAGAAAAAAACTGTAATATTGTAAAATAATATTGCAATTTAAAATAACGATTTACTATTTTATATAATTTATTCCTGTGATGCAAAGCTGAATTTTCAGCATCATTACTCCAGTCTTCAGTGTCACATGATCCTTCAGAAATCATTATAATATGCTGATTTATTATCAGTGCTGTGCTGCAAGTTGAGCTGCTTATCTTTTTTTTTTTTTGGAACCTGTGATACTTTTTTTCAGGATTCTTTGATAAATAAAAAGTTTAAAAGCAGAATTTATTCAAAATAATTTTTTTTCTAACAACGTACGTCTTTACTATCACTTTTTTTTGATCAATTTAACACATCCTTGCTGAATAAAAGGAAAAAAAAGAAAAGAAAAAAATTTACTGACCCCAAATTTTTGAACGATAGAGTATATTGTTTTAATTATGCTAAAGGAAATTATGGAAAAAAACATGATGCAGTAAATAAAAACTTTGTAGTCACTGATTATAATATTGTATTTATATTTATTATACAATACTTATAATATTGTATTTGTATGTTTTAATATTTTTCTAAATATTTTTTAGTCAATCGATCAATATCACAATCATATATAGTACATATATATATATATATATATATAATCTCTATACATCTATATTTAAAATATTATGTAAAAATATGTGTAAGGTAATTATGAAAAAGGAAATTACAAATTATAATAGTAATAACCAATACATATTTATATATATTTTCATATTTTGCAATAAACTATATTATCTATTCTCAATGGAGAAAATCAATGGAATTTTTATTTCTGGAACCCCAATTCTGTACTTTATTACAAAGTAACTCCCACATGTGATCGCACCATTAGTTCCGCAGCTGACTTATTGGCTTTCTCTTGTTGGCATTGCAATAGGAGCAGAATGAGGATTGCGGTGGGGCGTCAAGTCTGAGTCCATCTATCGTGTCCATGGTCATCCTCCAGCTGCCGCTGCTCTGGCTTCTGATTGGACGAGGACACTGCCTCTCGTGACCTCAGCATAGAGACGCCACACCCCTCTTCGATGCCAAAACTTACATTTAGACGTTCATCTGGACTCCCATGCTACAGCCCAGCACATGGAAGGAGAGGCTCTGACCCAGGAAGTACAAAACCCAAGCCGCGATCACTCACAGCCTTTGAGGTCAAAGTAGGTCGGAGATGATAAATGAGCAATGACCTTTGACATTTGACCCGTGAGGTCAGACTCTCTCCACATGAGCGACAGGGTGGGCAGACCTTGACACTTCATCGTCACTTCGCTATGAAGAAATGTCCTGTCTTTAAAACGAAAAAAAAATTATCCAATCACAACACTGCCAACCAAAATTTCGCCCTTTACTGGTGTGATGCCTTTTTTAACCTATTTGTCCTTCAGCATATTTACATGGCTAATTCCTCAGTATTACACACTGTTCGTGTGTGACTTTTATGGTTTGCCCTGCTGAGATCTTTAATGGACCCCTCCGGGTTGGGTCAAAATCCAGCCTTGTTTGTGGTCTGCAGCCCATTACTGGACCTGATGCAAAAGTCTCTTGTTTTTCCCAGTGGTCTCCACCTCTGTGCCTCGGGAATATCAGTTTCATTTCAGATCGCCGTTTTATAGTAAACAATCCCTCCCTCCATTTGTCCGTGGGTACCTGTATTCGCTATTTTTTATCGGCCCATAGTGCATTTCAAAGGCGCACTGCTGCCAAACGTTACCCTGTGTGTGGTCTTGCTGTACTTTGCCCTTGATACCAAGCAGGTCGTGTGGCCAAACAGCCCTTTGGTTCTTATTTAGGGCTTTTTAAATGACTGCCGATTCGTACCGACCTAAAAGCTCGCAAAGTTATGCGTCCTGGCTGTGAATATGGCGAGAAAAACCTGCTGTTGTGTGTGTGTTTTTTTTTTTGTTTTTTTTTGGTGCATTAGCTGTTTATTTGAGATTAAGTTATTGAAAATGAGCTAAGAGTTTTCTGCTGTATGTTTAATGTTGAGTTTTATGTGCTATGTTTAATGTTTGTGTGTGGATATGCAGATGCTAAAGGGTGAAAGGCATTTATGATATAGTTGCTCTTTCCCACACTTTAATTTCCTCTGGAGAACTCGAAAAGGTGGAAAGAAAATTATCTAATGTTTACAGATATCTTGAGACACTCGAGAGAGTTTTTATAAGAAATGTTGCCCCTGGTTGTGTTGTCTGAGTCTCTGATGTGTCGTTTTTCACTTTAATGTCAGAGGCAGAACTCTGTCAGCCTTTCTTTCCTGTCAACGTGCCTTGATGTGAATGGATTCATAAAAAAAAATAAGCGAAGGAATATCACAATGTGCAATCTGACCCAGAGAGATGCAAAATATCGGCATTCTGATCTGATGAAAAATTTAACTTCCGTCCCTTTAAGAGGTTCAGACTGGATCTTTGTGCCTCATTGAAATCTTGGCTAAAATTGATGGAATAATTAAGATTTTGAGAAGAGACAAGGATAATTACAGAACCCCTGGACTGCTCACAAATTGAACGTTATAAAAAAAAAAATCAGCATTTTATTGGTTTAATATTGATAATAATAATAATAATAATAATATATTTTAATAATTTATGTATAGTTTATTTATTAATTGTAGTATTATTGTTATTATTATTATTATTATTTGTTTTAAATTAAATACAAATATGAAAAATGTTTTTAAAAAGTAGGTAGAAAATTATGGAGAAAAAAATATTTTTTAGAAAATGGAGAAGAAAAAAGAAGGGGGGAAAGTCTGCATTCTGTATATCTATGTTTTTGCCCAGTTTGTTACAAACAGCCACATCTTGTGGTTCAGAGCTTCTGTAAATAATAAACATAATTATTAAAAGGAGTGGGTGGGAGGTGACTTCAATTACAAATGATTACTTGGTACATGAATGTTATGCCTGTAAAAAAGCAAAGCTATTTTTTTTTCTATTTAAGTATTCAGTTCAAAGTTATTTTTGTTTTGAAGAGAAGGAGGGATGCCTAATGCTTAGCCAGTTCCCAATATATTCAATATTGTATTGATTATGAATTATGATGATTAATTAATAGCAAACAGATGATTTCTGCAAGTTATTAATGGCCGCTGAACCGTATTTGCATTGTTTTTGGCTTAGTGTATATGTACAAAGTCATTTGGGTCTCTGTCAGCACTGATTACCATCGTGTTCTTTCTCATTTTAGAAGCGTAGACAAACAGGAAATTAAAAGACATGAAGACACACAACATCAAATCCGTAATGGAAAGTGAATTTTAGTGAGCAACATCACTGCTACTTTATGCATCATTTCCTCTGTACACAGGAAACGGTTTTGGTAATGCGCCTGAAAACAACATGATTGGACTTTGTGGATTTGGCTTGCGTTGAAAAGCCATTCTTCTGAAAATCTTTCCATGATTCATCACCGTAATCAGACAAGCATTCTAGAAGTGACGTGCATTAAATCAGTGTATGATAAAAAGAAAATGCCATAAACATCGTAGTTAATTGGCTGTCAAAATGAGAAATTATTGAAAACATCTCCAGTTCCAGACCGTTAACTCGACGAATTACCCACGTTAATTCCCAGCAAAACTAATGTCATCTTGTTTATCTAAACAAGTATAAAGTACATGTTTTTCACTTCCTCTACCTGTACTTTAAAGTGCTATCTCAAAACGTTTTTCCAGCCTAACACACAAAAACTGCCTGTGAGGGTATTCAAACCTTTAACATAATCTTATCTCTTCCTTATGCCCTATTTAGTTGGCATGTGTTGCACTGGAAGTGAAAACTAAGCTGTGTGTGCGATGCTACAATATTTGCCTCTGTAGATGCTGGAGTGTGTAAAGTAACAGATTACGGCTCTGTTCAGAATAGCATACTAGCATACTGCTTCTACATTCGCAGTATGTAGTATGTATATTATGGACAGTATGCAAATTTTCAATATGCAAATACAAAATTCCCAGATGACCATTTGTTTTCTAAAATATGAGGTATTCGACAGCAAACTGCATGGAATACTGTATCCCACAATGCAATGCACCCTTCATTTTTTTAGTAAACCGACTGCAAAAATTTACATATTTATACAAATTAGTGCACGTTGTTTCCCATCTGATGATGTCACTATGTAGCATTCTACTGTTTAGTGTGGAATAATGTCTACTATTTTTTTTTTTAAAGAGACAGAACATACTGCGCAGTATTCAGTATATACTGTAGTATGCTAATATTCCATTCTGGATGCAGCCTAAAGGTCTTTGCACACTGAGTCTGAATTTTTCACATGTTAAAAAATAAATACGACCACACATTGTGTCAATCACATCTACATACTTCGTCCGTCCGTCATAGAAAAAATCTGGATCGGGTTCAATTTTCTGCATTTTTCGCATCCGTAGCAAGCTTTTTGACTCTGTTCGTGACGATGATGCATACGAAAAAACACATGCGAAAATTTACGAACATTTTGGACTCGGACCTTAAAGGTGCAAAGACCATAAAGGTGCAATCACATTTAGCAAATTTTCACGGGAAAAATCCAGTTATTTCAGTAGGACTATGTGCGATCTTGAGCCTCGCATGAGGACGGATGCAGATTTTGCGAATTTTTGCTGGCTTTGAAAGTGAGCTGTGCTTCATACGTCGTTACACTACTGACAAAGGACTTTTTTTCCGAAATCTCACTGAAATTTCGTTAATGTGACCTCACCGTAACATTCACTGCTTTTTTCTTGGGGCGACAGCTGCTGAACCGAGATGTGTCCCGATCCTGACGGTCCAAGCTAACCTTAACCTTAAATGTCAAAACTGATTTGGGACCAGTATTTGAAAGCATTAAGGGTCTCCAGCTTCTGACAGAAATAGTTTACAGGATACCTTAATAGAGGTGAAAGTGTTTTCTAGAATATCAAAAAGACAGATGTTTAGGGGAAATATGAGATCAATTCATATAATTCCTTAGAAAATACTGAATTAGATTTAGCAACTTAGTCCTTCAGACAAACTGGGATGAAGAAAGGCTTTCGTTTAACTTCCTGTAGACTGAGCTCAGATGCTGAACAGAAAATGGCAACGTGTGATTTAAAAAGCTGCCGTTTCGGTTCTCTGTCTCTCTGGTCTGTGTGGGTTTTGATCTCTGGAATTGTCCGATAGTGTGAAGTGTGTTTTAAGTGGTCAGTCAGATCCTGCTGCCTCCACTTGTCTCCTGGTTGACCGTTAGTCTGCCTCAGTCAGGGTTTAGGAGGACTTATCCCTAGGCTTATTTTCAGCCCCCCTTAATTGTACTGTCATCCAGTGGTTCACATCTGGTTTTGCTTCAGGAACCAAATTTTAAATGGTGACCCAAACAATACAAAACGTAACCGGCATTTAATGTAGTCTGGGTTGTATTTTTTCTTCTTTTTTTACCATGCATCGTTTTGTTCATGGTTTTTGAACAATTTCAAATAGCCGTGTTGTCATCGGCCTAATTTGGTTAAATCGCTTCTAGTAAAATGATGGGAGGAAATAAGCTGTAATATTAACGGCTGAGGCATTATTAAAGCCGTCAGTCTCCTAATGCCGCCTGCTTAAAGGGATAAATGTAAAATATTTTGTGGACTGTAGAGCAGTATCATAAATATTTTATTGTGCGTTGGAATTGGTGTGAAAAGTGCAGTGGGTACTTGGTGTCTGCGAGCAGGTGTGAGACGGAGGAGATCAAAATGTTGTCAAGTCCTCAGCAGTCTTAGCACAACATTTTGCCTCTCATAAGTTACTTGCAACTAGTGCTGTCAAACGATTAATCACATCCAAAATAAAAGTTTGTGTTTAAATAATATAAGTGTTTGTACTGTGTATATAAATACACACACATGCATGTGTATATTTAAGAACAATGTTATGTTTATATATTAAATATATTTATATATAATATAAATTATATGAATATAAATACATAAACATGTAAATACTTTAAAAATATATACTGTATGTGTGTGTATTTATATATACATAAGA